AGAGTTTAACCAGAGCCTATTAAATGATTTAATTATAGATTTGCACCTTCCAAAAGAAGGCTTCGTGACAAGCATTAACTGGCACCTGGAGTCACATCAAGGAGTCACAGGAAGGACCGCTAGGCTATTGCAACAATATTGCTGACTTAGTTTGGAGATTAAGAAATGTGCCGTATATAACTATTTATTGACTCAATTTACATTTAAAAGAAACTTATAAAAATTTAGGATTTTTTTTTTAAGAAAATAAACACCAAGATTATCAGTGGATGCTTTGTGGTAACCTCAACGTGCAGTGCTCCTAGGGCAACAGGGGGTTATACAAAATGTACATGCTTTATTTGTGAGTGGGATAGTCGGGTAAGAGATAAACATTGGACTCAAATAGGATTGCCCTCTAGAACAAGCCTTACATCTGGTAGCAAGAATATCTTAAAGATAGTTATTTGACCCCAAAAAAGTTTTACTGCCTCCTCTTCATATCAAACTTGGCAATTTGTTAAAGCCCTAGACAAAAGTGCTTCAAAGTGTTTCAAATATTTGTGTGAGGAATTTCCAGTCTTTTCTGATGTCAAGGTAAAAGAAGTTATTTTTGTTGGGTCTCAGATAAAAAACATTACCAATGTCAAGAAAAATGCCTGGATTTCATTTGAAGAAGTAGTTGATAAATTTCTTGGGAAGGACGAAAACTACGAAAGTATTGTTCAAAATATGTTACAACACTTTCATCGTCTAGGTTGCAATATTAGTTTGAAAGTGCATTTCCTGTTTTCACACGCCATTTTCCTGAAAATCTTAGAGTAGTTTGCGAAGAACAGGGAGAGAGGTTTCACTAGGACATTAAGGAAATGGAACGGTGACACCAAGGATAACGACGAAGGCGGACAACTGATGGATGCTAAAACGGGATATGCCCTTAAAAACACACAGACGAATGTCCGGATAACAACGCAGCTTTCTGGCAAAAAGACCAAGATTTCACTCAAAGAAGTCTGAGCAAAGTTTTTTTTTTCACTGTTCACACACTAGGATTCCACTTCTTTCTGAATAAAAAAATAAATTATGTTAGAAATATCGTTTTTTTTTCTTTCATATTTGCAAAAAAACCTTAAGTGGTACAAATGAATGCACAGAATTTTTGAAATCACCCTACCAAAATTATATAAAATTAGTTTCCAAAATAAAAACATCTTTCAAATGTATAATTTTGTGTGTATTATTCGCATTCAAACGTTCAAAAGTGGAGTAGAAAATGTCTGGAAACCATCACGTCATTTCGTTTACGCTGTAAGAAAATAACTGAGAATGAGACTGTTCTAAATTTGACATTTCCTTACGAAACCTCGACCGCGATGGCGCGATTTTATCAAACGTCAGAGTTGTACTCGGTAAAAATCAGAAGAGGGATTTATACGAGAAGCAATAACGGGGCCGTTTTGCTCTGCGAGCGTAATAAAGTAACTGTAGTTTCCCAGAAAAATGATAATAACGGCACGAGGCACAAAAGAATTCCGAAACAAGTTGGAACTCCTTAAAGTTGGCGCATAAAAGATTCAAAAGGGAATAACTATATCGCCTGGGGATTTCTTTTGTTTTTGGTTGCTTTCCTGTTATTTTCGGGAGACGAGCGCGGAGGTAAACAAAAGCTTTGCCAAAATTCGCTATTAGATAAAATCCCGCGAAATCCCGCGGAGCGCGCGAAAGAAAAATACGTTATCTTAACCTTGGTGCTGTCTGTTTCAGTTGTCTGGATCCCGGATGTATTGTTACGGCCGCTCAGGCGAAATTTCAGAAATTATGCAGGGCAAATTTACAAAAGTATGTACTTTGCGCGGCAGCTCCGGGACAAAGGTGTTTAAGCTTAAAATTTTATCTCGAACAGGATATCTTAATAAAGTAGAAGAACGTTCCATGAATACGAAATTGGGATGTCTCGCGAGCGAGGTAAAATATTCCGTGTTTTCTCTTCGGGCGGATAACACGACCCCTAAACAAAGACGCGTGGCTGTTGATTGTAACGCTCGAAATAACTTGTACCTAAGCAGATTTTGTTGCGACGAAAGCTTCTACATTGTAAGCTGGGCTAACCTCCGGTGAATAATGACTACGCGTGCAAGTAATTCGACGTTACCTTTTAAAAATCGGATTAAACGGCCTCGTTTATCCCCACTCCACCTGTGTTCTCATTTCTATCGGGTTAATACAAATACATCTTAAAGAAACTTCCAAATGCTACTGTAATACTTTTTACTTGCTGACGTTTCGCCAATGACCTTGTTGGCTTCTTCAGAGCTTGACTGAAACTGTCTCGCATTTTCCTCTGCACCTGCTTATATATTGTTTGAGGGGGGCGGAGCTAAATGAGGGGCATGCCCACCGTCTCGGATGACTGATTGCCATATTGGTGACAGATAAAAACCTCAGTCGCATTTAATATTGTTACTTTGTTTATAGATTTCTATAGACTCTCGGAGTTTTCGTTGGTAGAATAAAATTTTATGTCCGGTTTGGCGATCGTATTCGGCCACCGATGAAGACTTTATTTGTCTTAGTCGTAAGGCTCTTTCGTCGTTTCATTAAGCTCCACCCCCTTAAAAAATATATAAGCAGTCTAGCTCTGAAGAAGCCAACAGGATGATTGGCGAAACGTCAGCAAGTTCGACTTAGCAAAAACCGACGCAGAAGGAATCCAGAAGTTTTGTACAAAGTATAAATAAATCCTTCCGGCATGACTGAAATACTTCGAAGTTCAAAAAGAACATTTGGGTCTTCAAAATCTTCAATCTAGACCATTTTTCATTTGTGTAGTTTAAAGATAACTGAATCAGAGTGACTGAGACTGACCAACATCTACCCAAATATTATGAGTAGTTGTCACAGTTACAGAAGGTATGAATGTCTCTAATATCCACCCAGAAAATAGATCAACTTTTAATTAGTCCGTTCTGAAGATTTTTGACTCCAAGGGGCAAAACGAGCTGGAGGATGACTTCTCGGAGACACTACATTACTGCAAAAGGAATACGGTTGGGCTCACAGATATTAAACAATGGCTACTCAAAACAACCCATCCAAGACGACGATAAAGGGAAATCCACCAGCTAAGCAACAGGAATCCTAAAGAAAATATATGATTAGTATTCATATCTTACCAGTACGTTTTTCTTTCGTTACGCAAGCAATCAGAAAAAACAATTTTAGCGGTTCAAGAAAAAGAATCTTCAGATATGCGGCCCGAGTACCTCGTTGTTATAATCTAATTACAAACAAATTGAAAATTTAAAAGCGAAACATGCTACGTTCACCAGAGGGCGCCCACGTAGATTTATATCCAAGAGGACCCAAGCTGGTATTTCGGTGTTAAATTATTCCTCCTACGTTGAAACCAAAAAAAAAAAGACTTTCGGTTAAACTTGGTCTTTAAAAAAGAGCAGATTCCTTTCCTTGTTTGCAGACTGGGACAAGACCGTTTCGCTAGATCATTTCGGAGAGAGGTGATATAAGGCTTATATAAATAAAACTTATAACGAATCTGAAATTATTTGCTGCAAATCGAGGCTACGCGCAGTGTAATCCTCGATCAATCTCTGATCGTCCCATTTTACTTATTATTATCGAATTTTACTATCGAGAACCCTTTAAAATTTGTTGAGAAGTTTGAGTTTGATATCTGTTACGTTATTTTCAAAATCAGCGATCTTAATAAATATTTAAAATATTTTTAACAGGTTTTTCATTTTATTTTAATCTTGAAGTTATTACTTTTAGCTCATTGAATACAGTATATAAAGTATTTTGTGACAAATTTCCCAATTTTTTTTTTGAAAACAAAAGAGTACATTTATTGATAAAACTATCGTCACCGACGAAAATTATATTATTATTGGATGCAGTGTATAAAAAATCGCACCGTTAGCTGTTCGTATGTTGTAGGTGAGAATTTCTTCAAAAAAAGTAGTTACGAGAAGGCGTTTTTGTGAGACATTTCCCGAAATTGTCACTGTCAACAGAATATTACTATCTACCTTGGATCCGTTGAGATATGTGTATGTTTATGCAATGTTTATGCAAAAAGGAAGTTCTTGGAAATTTTTGATTGGAGGTTCAAATTTGTCCCTGACGAGTAGTTATGCTAAGGCATTTCTGTGCCACATTTATCAAAACTCAAGCGTATAATTATTTACAAAACTATTGTCACCGACATCATATCGACATTTGTCGGTAGAGATATAGGTATATGCATAAGATATATTTCTTATCACCAAGTTAAGATTATTTTCATTTCATTATTGCAAACTGAATTCTTAAAAAACAGGTCTATTTCTTTTTTTTTTTTCACATTTTTTCAACTATGAACTGAAAACTTTTTAAGCATGTTGTCGCTTTGTTGATTATGGAGAGCTTATTGCATGCTTTGTTGCTCTGTTAAATGGTGGGTTAACTTTGTTGTTCTTAATTTGATATAAATAATAAGTATAAATATAAGTATACTTGTCACGACTGGTAATAATTTGTTGCCACCTAAACTCGAAAGGATCTGGCGGGTCATTCTTTGACTAAAAAATAAAAATTAAAGTAGGTTTAAATTTGATTGTTTGTATATATATATATATATATATATATATATATATATATATATATATATATATATATATATATATATATATATATATATATATATAATCTTGTCTTTTCATTTATCTCGACAGGTATTACCGAATTGGCGCGAACATTTACCGCAAATTAGAAAAAAATCTCTTTCGTCAATAAGAGCTTATCGAATTCTTTTGAGGTGCATTTAATATCAGTTGTGTAATAATTGACCAAAATAAGCGGCGCAGAAAGTCCCCAATCTCGTGCGAAAGAGAGAATGAGGAAGGAAGAGAGCTGCTAAGCAGAAACGGCTTTATCTGGGGACCGACTACGCCAAAACGAAACAATACAAATGCATTTCGGGCCCGTCCTATACACCGTTATCAACACACAAACACAATACTAACCTTCGACAACGAGGAAGAATCCTTTGGGATTCTTGAGGAGAACGGAAAGCGCTGTACGTGTCATATCGGCGAGCGAAGGGTCTCCTGAGGGTCCCGTATCCCGGTCAGCTTCAAAGTCCATGTGGGAGTACGAAAATAAACCTGGCGACAAATATTCGTTATTAGCTTAGCCTCCTGATCAGGGAGGTATATGGAAATTAATAGTCTAATCATCAGCGGCCCGGATGATATCGCAGTGCAAATTGGAAACTTGTCGCGGCGATCGCAACTTTGACGATTGCAGCACGGGGGGCGGCGTGTAGGAGAACTAATCAAAATTTGTCGCCGGAAATGATCGCTATTCGCCTTGACGTGGGGCCGGTCGTCGTGAGGGAATGGATATCGGACCCTCCATAATTTGAGGAAAACGTCAAATTGAATTCTGTCTGTCTATGTCAGTGATGATAAAACTGTAAACCTCAAAATTTTGAAAAATCGAAAAGCAATTTTTAAATCTTACCAGCCATCATTAAAGTAAAACAAGAATGGAATATTCTTAATTTTTGTTACTTAGTTATTTGTTTAATGTCGTTTAAAATATAAAAACCAAAATTATATAACCAATGATATACAAGACTTTAAATGCCTGTGTTATGTATTATGTATTGCTAAATGACAACAAAAAACAAGATAAACTGCAATTGAAGTGCAATTGAATTCGCACCGGTTCGCTAAGGCCATTTCCAAAGAAAAAAGATAATTACATCTAAAAAAGTAGCAACAATAATTAATTAATTCCTACTACACAGCAAGGTATCCATTAGCAGAGCCTTTACGACTTTAATTTTCCTTATGGCAAGTTAAATTTGCCGACGGAACTGTACAAGGGTCGTTCGTGTACAATGGACTCAATCTCCGCAGAGATATCTGCACCGAAGCTACTGATGCCAAAAACTGTCTCATATATTAAAATTAAAATGCGCTTTCATCGGCTTACTTCAGAGATGAATTCAAAAAGATCACGGAAATGCTTAAATAAGATTAGATAATGAGGATAAAACCTGGACTTATTACTATGGTTCCGAGTTAAAAAGACAGAGGCACAAGGTTTTTCCCATCAGCAGAGCAGGTATGATGTTTCATCGAGACAACGCGACTACTGACTACCTTGTACTTCTCAAACTAAAAGAACGTAAGGTTAAATCATGCAACCAAGGCCCCAAAAAAAACGAAAGAAATAGTAAATTCACTTCAGGAATAAATTCAGCTGAGCTCAGCTAACTTCAGCTAGATTATAGAAACTTTACAGCAAAATTGGATACCAAGAATGAGACCTGGGTTCGTTATTGTCAACTGAAGTCAACAAGGCAGGGGAGGAGACCCCGTATCATCTGCTCACCGAGTGCCCTGCCTCGGTGCATGGGCAAGATTGGGAGTCTTTGGAACGGCCCTGATTGATCCGGACTCAGTGCACGGTATTGGGCTAAAGGAGTTGCTGACCTTCTACAGGAGGGGCGGCATTCTGGACGCCCTCTAGAGCGGCCTGGGGGCACAACGGGCCCATCTGGTGGTCTAAGTGCTTGGACGCCCGCGAGGGCGCCCCCCCTTAATACCAATACCAATACCAAGTCAAAAAGGCAGGCCAATTGTGACAGAGTACCCGGCTTTACATTAGGTCTAGTAACTCCACGTAGGTAATGACAGCTTTAAGAGTTTCTTTGATTACCCGATGGGGTGGATACAATTCGGATTTCACTGTTTCGTTTTCCTGATCATGGGAGTGTCACTCAATGGCTCGGCGCCCGACGCGCTGTCGTAAATAAATTCTTTTTCTTTTCTTCCGAAATCCTAAACTTAAATGTGTAGAGCATGTGACCAATAAAAAAACATCTTTTTTTTTACCAAGAAATCAGTAAAATTTTCATTTATTAACTTAAAAGTTAGTTAACAATACGAACATAAACGGATAATTTCATATGGTTAATATATTCTTAAAGTATAGACATTTGACCATGGATGCTGGAAATTAAATAAATTTGATTTTGCTTAAAATTTTCATTATTGAAAAAAAATGTTGTTAAAATCAAAATTTTAAAAAATCGTTTCTGGGATCAATTTTTCCATCATAAGTACTTATAAAATATATATATAGATTAATTTTTTATGATCAACTGGTAAATGGGGGGTCCACTTGACGTGATCTTACTCAGAAACTTGTTAACCGTCATTATAGCAGGTGTAGGTTGAAATATTCAAAGTTTAAAAAAATCCACAAGCTTTTTCTCTGTCATGAACGATACTATCTGACCACCCCCGTATTGGCCCGACTTTGCGTTCACCGGCTGGCGCGAGCACGAGAGGAAAGGGAGAGAGAGAGAGAAAAAAAAACGGCGAATAGTGCGGGGGTGCGGGCGGAGGGGTACGGCGGACAAAGCGTTTATTTTAGCTTTACCGCCTTTTACGTTAAGAAAAGTTCAACTAAACGGAACGGTTAAAAGGAGAATTTCCACAAAAGGCGCGCAATAAGCAACGGAATAAAAATTCATTAACGTTGCTTAAGTCCGGACGACGGCCCGGCGCAAAAAAGACCCTTAATAAAGCAACGCGGCAACAAAAGACCTGCGATGGGAGTGCGGGGCGAAAGGTGGAAAATGCATAAAGATGTCGGATTTCGAGGTTGTTTTTTTTCGTCGTTCGGGGCACAACGAGCGGCTAAACAACGGATATTAGGAGAGGAGAGGTTTTTTTTTTTTGGTCGTTAAATATCTTTACGCGAATTTTCAGCTTATTAAGTGAAGCCGCCGGCGACCGAGAGAGGAAATTTTCCTATTCCGTTTTATTAGGAAAATCGTGGGGCGGAAATGAACCGTTTGAACTGCGATAATCAGTTGTTTGACCACCGTTCGAGTGAGGCCGTTTAGAGTAATCGTCAAAAATTAATGAAAAACGACGGTTTTACATGAGGCGCCATTTGGAAAAATTGCAATTGGTTAATAATACACTGGGTGACACAAGAAAGTGGGACCGCTCCTTAATTTTTATTCGGCTTGACGAAGCGATTTAAAATCTCAGTGCCTCAAAGGTCCAGAAACTTTTCAATTTTAATTTTAATATATTTTGCATTTTTGAATTCAGCAGATTATTCTGGGAATTTGACGACCGTTCGCGTGACGCCATGTTTGATGGGCTAAAAAAAATGCTTTTTAGAGTAATCGTCAATCATATGGTACACTGCAAATTGAAGATAGCTAAATCTTAACCCAAAGCATTTTTTAAAACCTGCATAAACCAAACCTAAACAATGTTAAGGGATCAAATATTGGAACTAACTGACGTCGATAAAATGGTGGAGTTTTTTAATACTAACTTACTGGAGGTGTTCAGCTTGCATGCTCCTTTAAAAACTGCGAAGATAACAAAACCGCCAGCTCCTTGGCTCACGGAAAACTTAATATAAGAAACAGAAAACCGAACAAACCTGGATTCAATACAAGGAGTTGGGAAATCTTGTAAATATGGCTGTTAAGTCGGAGAAAAAGGCTTTTTTACAACACAAGTTTCTTAAGGATCCAAAAAATTTCTGGCGTGTACTTGGATATCTTAATGTGTATTTCAGCCCTTCACTAAATACAGATATCTCAAATATAATAATACCCCTCAAACAGACTTAATAATGATTTCTTTAATTCTCTAATTAACCGGTTCTACAACAACAATAACTCTTTAAATCCAAAAAAAAACTTTCATTTCCAAGTGTTAACCCTAACGAAGTAGGAATTATAATACATCAAATTAGTACTCATGCCGTGGGGCCTGATGGGATTGATAGGAAGATGATATTATACGTTATCCCCCAACTTTTACCGCATATTACGTATATTATTAATAATTGCTTGTGTACTAACAAATTCCCTTCTTCTTCTTCTTCTTAGGGTGCCTATCCGTTGCGAATTTCGGCGATCATCGTAGCGATTCGGACTTTGTCTGCCGTAATTCGGAATAGTTGCGTGGATGTTTTGTTGAACCAGGTCCTGAGATTTTGAAGCCACGATATCCTGCGTCTCCCTGGTCCTCTTCGTCCAAGGATTTTTCCTTGTAGGATTGTCTGCAGCAGACCGTAGGTATTCTAATTTGCGGGTTTTAAATGTGTTCATTAGTTCCAGGTCTTTTTTCATTGTTCTCAGAACTTCCGTATTCGTTACTCTTGCCATCCAGGGGATTTTTAGCATTCTCCTGTACAGCCACATCTCGAAAGCGTTCAGTTTTTTGGCTGTGGTTTTATTGAGCGTCCAGCATTCTGCACCATAAAAAAGAACGGAGAAGACGTAGCATCGCAGGAGCCTTTAGTGTCAAGGGTGGGGTTATGACTTTTGAAAATGCACCCATGTGGTTAAAGGTTGATCTGGCTTTTCCTATGCGTATTTTTATTTCCTGTGCGTTATTCCAGTCCCAATTAATGATGGTTCCCAGATATTTGTAGTGATCCGCTCTTTCGATAGCAGCGTGGTTTGTAATTAGATGACTTCCTGTGATTTTTTTTTTTGCTGATTATCATAAGTTTGGCCTTGTTTACGTTGACTTCAAGGCCGTATTGACTGCTGCGCTGGGTAATTTTGTCCATCAGGGCTTGTAGGTCTTCGAGACTGTCAGCAAAGACAATTGTATCATCAGCATACCTGATGTTGTTGAGCCTGTGTCCATTTATCAAAATTCCCCTGTCCGTGCCGTCCAAAGCTTCATTGAAGATGCGTTCTGAGTAGAGATTGAATATAAGCGGTGAAAGTATGCAACCCTGTCGGACGTAATCGGTGTGTTCTCCTTCCACTCTAAGGTTAGCTACTTGGTTCCGATAGAGGTTCCCGATAATTCTCAGGTCCTTGTTGTCGATACCTAAACCCTGGAAATACGTTAACGTCATTCCTGTCCCTAAAACCTCTCAACCGCATGATGTTTCTCAATTCCGACCTATTAGCATTCTCCCTACTATATCTAAAGTGCTAGAAAAAGTTGTTGAGAAGCAGCTTGGAGATTTTATAGCTCGGTACAATCTTCTATCCCGAACGCAATCGGGCTTTAGGGCAAATTATGGTCCAAATACGGCTCTTTTAAAATTTTGTGATGATGTATTTCGGGCAAATGATGTAGGCCCGAATACCTGCTTA